AAAGAAAGAAAGAAAGAAAGAAAGAAAGAAAGAAAGAAAGAAAGAAAGAGAAAGAAAGAAAGAAAGAAAGAGAAAGAAGGAAAAGGAAAAAGTTGGGCTCCATACCACCCCCACCCAGGGAGAAGCCCAGTGCCACTCAAGATTTCTGTGTCTCTGGCTGGCACTCCCAGGCGTGCCTCTGGGGCCCACCCCAGCTGCCTTGCCACTTGCTATCAGCCCAGACGCAGAGCTCCGGCCCTTCTCTCGATTTTAAGGCCGGACTCACACAGAGGTTTTGCACGGGTGGCAAATTTTCTTCCAGGATCAGCCCAGAGGAGAACATGGACAGCTCAGATTCACAGAAATGAAGACTGAAATTTAAACCGCCTCATGCTTTCCAGACCCTTCAGCTCTGTGCCCTGGAGTTCTGCTCCAAGCTGATGGCTGCCCTGGCATCTGCACTCCATTGTCCCTCACACTGACACTGACACTGTCTATGGCTCCTTCTGTATAACCAGTGTACATCCGCCCCCCGCCCCATGTATTTCTTAAATGCACTCATCCCATTAGACAGCATTACAGTCAGATTAAATGACCAGGCCGAGGCTACCTGAACGTCTGTTTCAATGCAGCGGCGCCTCCCCCTGCGGTTGGCGATTGCAGGCAGATGCAATCTTTGTCAGACTCCTGCTTTTTACTGGAGCTGTACTATTTCTCTTTTCTTTCCTTCTTTTTTGACTTTTTCATTTGCTATGGGGGTGAGTATGCTTTGCTAGAGTGAGACAAAGAGTGAGAGAAAGAGAAAGTGAGAAATCACCCCCCGGGGGGAAGGCCAGTCCACAATCTCTTCTCCTCCATTCTCCTCTCAGGAGTTTGGGCACACACGCACTCACACCCAGTGTGTTTTTCAAGCAGCTGGGTCTGGGACTTGAACATGCAGGTGGCCATGTGGGATGCAACTGCCTTAACTACCACGCCAGGCTGGCCCTGTATTATTCTTCTTTCTTTCTTTTTTTTTTTTAAGAATTGTTTATTTCATTTTATTATTATTATATCTTAATTGGACTTGAGAGAGAGAAAAAGCAAAAGGGAAAATGAGAAAGCAAACTGCCGGGTCCGGGATTCAGACCGCAGTCGGCCACATGGGAGTCTAGCACCTCGACCACTGCTGGCTCCATGTTATTTTTCTTTTAAGACAAAAAAAATGGCCCTATCTGCTGAATCCTGCATTCGATTTTAATGTACAGCAGTTACCATCTTTTGGCAACCATGGTCATGGACCCCACTTTTATGTAAAACATTTTTTCCTTGATGTTTTATCAATTTTATCATTGTAAACATTTCAATACAATGGACATGTATGATTTAAAAAGTGAAAATTTCCCCATACAATGCAAACTCAATGCTAACCACTATTGAAAGTTTACAACATATTTTTAGATTTTTTTTTCTGAAGTACTTACTGTAAATAAAACCCACAGGAATGGGGGCCAGCAGGTGGTGTGGTGGTTCAAGGGGCTGGACTCCCACATGACCAACCGCAGCTTGAGTCCCAGACATGGCGGCTTAAAATTCACACCAGGTGCCTGTGCCTGTGTGCCCAAAATCCCAGGAGGAGAACAGAGAAGGGATTGTGGTGTGGCCATTCCCCCCGGGGGGTGATTTCTCACTTTCTCTCTCACTGCCTCTCTCTGGCAAATGCACATGCCTCATGGCAAAAACCTGGGAAAAAAAGAAAAGGAAAGAAAGAAAAAGAAAAACCACAGGAATGAACTCATAGACACTTTCTTAGGCAACCTTTTTAACCTAAGAATAATATACCCTGAGTACCTTTCCTAGCATGATCTGGAGATTAGTCTTTTTCATTCTAAGCACAGTCGGAGTAGACCGTAATTGACTAGCCCGACGCCCCACGAGCGGCGTTGAAGTCTGTCTCCCGTGTTCCGCACACAGGGCTGCGATCTACACTCTGCTCGGTTGTCTCCTGGTGTGGCAATGAAAGCCACAGGATGGAAATGATCGAGCCCAAGGTCATCATGGCTGGCTTCTTTTTTAAACATGCATCAAGTTTATTTTTATTTATTTATTTATTTTTTAATTATAAGAGGTTGAGTGCTTACCAGAGTGAGACGAGGGCGGGGGGAAGCACCCCGCAATGGGGCATGGTCCTGCTGCCATCTCCTCTGTTTCTCCATCCTGTTGGGATTTGCGGGCACTCATGCCCACGTGCTGAGCCTATTTCTCAAGCCACTAGGTCAGGGACCTGGACTGCGGCTGGCCACGTGGAATCTGACTCTCTTAACCACTAGGCCACAGAGCCGACCCACAAACACTAATTTATTGATACCAGGAGCCAGACGTTGGGCAAGACACCAGACCTGGGCGAGGGGGAAAGAGAGAGAGAGAAAAAAAAACCTAACAGAATATCTCTGCTCTTTGGGAGTGAGCATCCCAGTGAAGGAGACAGGAAAGGAGAGACAGCTAACGGTGCTAACTACCACGTGACACCCAGGCTCCTCCAAGGAGCAATGGGAGGGAGGAGCTGGGAACGGGGAATGAGACTTGGCAGAGGAGTCTGCCCTTGAAGAGGTGTCCAAGGTGACCAGGGGAAGGGTGGGCGCTACAGGAGACGTTTCTGATGGGGAGAAATATTCAGGCCTGGGAGGGCACATCAGGGTCGGGGGCGACAAAACAGACATGAGATGTGGTCTGTAGTGAGAAGGAGGTAGCATGGGACAGAGGCTCTGGATCCAGGCTGTAAGAGGACACGATGCCAAATTAAAGCACTTTCCAGCATTCCGAGGCAGAGAACGGCCGCAGGAGAGCCCTGAGGAGGTGCGGGCGCTCACAGAAGTGCAGCGAGAGGGAGGTGGGCAGGGTCTCGGTCCACACCGCAGGCAGCGATATGGGGAGAGGCTTGGGGGAGGGCCACTCCAGAGCTGGTGAAACCTCTCCAGGTGCTACTGCCACAGTCCATGTGCACGTGAGGTCCTGACCTGCCGGGACTGTCACTGACCGAGCATCCCTGGACGCCTGGGGTGTGACACACATCCGACTCATGCAACAGCCTTTGAGGCAGAAAGTAGCGTGGCCTGGGCCTAGAGGTGGCGTGGTGGCTAAGATGGCTGGATCCCTCATGGCCCACTGTGTGGTTCAAGTTCAGACCTGGCAGTCTGAGAACCATGCCAGGCATGTGTGCGTGCATGCCCGAAATCCTGAGAGGAGAATGGGGAGAAGGGACGGCAGCGGAGCTATCCTCTGGGGGCGTGATTTCTCGCTTTTTCTCTTTCTCTCTGTTTTTCTCTGGTGAGCAACAGCTCCCCTAGCCAAAACTAAAAACAAATAAGAAAAAGAAAAAAAAAAAATAGCGTGGCCGTTTTAGAAATAAGGAAGTGAGACAGAGAGGTTAAGCAACTTGCCCGGATTGCCCAACTAGCTCATGGAAGATATGTCTAAGCCCACACTCGCTGCTATGTCACCCTGTCCTCATGGACGACAGCGAGGACTAAAAGACTCCTTCAGGGAGAGTTGCTGACTGGTTACCGATCGGTTGTGGCAGATGGAGAGGAGGGCAGGGCCAGTGCAGACGCCCCGTTCCCTAGTTCGGCCCCACAGTGGCGTCTGTCGGCCTAAAAAGCAGAAAGCGGGTTCTGCAGATTCAACACCTTGTTAGCGTCCTACGGCCGCTGTGACCAATGACCACCTCCTCGGTGGCTGAGAACATCCCAAATTCATTCTCTCTCTGTCAGAGGATCAGAGATCTGAACCAGTCCTGCTGGCTAATCCCAAGGGGTCAGTGGACTGCGACCCTTCTGGAGGTTCCAGGAGAGAATCAGTTTCCTCACTTCTCCAGGGTCCGAGGCCTCAGCCTGTGGCCCCGTCCCCTATCTCCAAGGGCGGCAGTGTGCCTCTGCAGCTCCTTTTCCGACTCTGACACTAACTCTCCTTCAACCCTCTGTCACTTACGTCAGCCTCTGTGATACACAAGACCCCCGAGATAACCAGGAAAGCCCCCATCCCCAGATCCTTCGCTTTTTCTTCTGTGCCAGAGGGCGTGTGCATACGTGTGCATGAGAAAGCCAGCGAGAGGCAGCGATCCCCCAGCGATCCCCCAGGAAAAGGGTCATGCTGTAACCCTTTTCCTCCAAATCTCCCTCCTGCCAGGGTCCTGGGCACAAGGGCCTGGCATATTGCCTCTGGGGCTGGGATTCAAACTGCGGTCAGCCACGTGGGAGTGGCACCCTCTGCACAATGATTAGCCAGACCCTTAACTCACACCTGCGAAGGCCCTTTGGCCACGTAAGGTGCCATAGTTACAGATTCTGAGAGTGAAAAAGCAAGCCTGTTGGGGGGAGTGAGCATTTTTCTGCTGACCACCACTGTGTAAGCCAAAAATGTCTTGAAGGGATAGGCCCAAGGTGAGAGGAGGCGGCTCCTGTCTGGTGCTGCAGACCCTGGTCTGGGCTTGAGGCTCTGGGACCAGGAGACGGTCCAGAGAAGCTTGCGTTGTGATTCTTCTCCGTTACACATTTCTGTGTGATCGAGGAACAAGTCTGGCCAGCACTGCAGCCTAGTGGTTATGGGAGGGGATCCCACCTGGCTGTCTGAGGTTAGAATCCCAGCCCCAGAGGCTTGAAAAACACATCAGGTGCATGTGCATGGGTGTCCAAAATCCCAGAGGGATGGAGAAATGGAGAGAGGCCTGTGGAGTGACCGTGCTCCATGGCCGGGTGCTCTCTCTCCTGTGGAGGGACCGTGCTCCATGGCCGGGTGCTCTCTCTCCTGTGGAGTGACCGTGCTCCATGGCCGGGTGCTCTCTCTCCTGTGGAGTGACCGTGCTCCATGGCCGGGTGCTCTCTCTCCTGTGGAGTGACCGTGCTCCATGGCCGGGTGCTCTCTCTCCTGTGGAGTGACCGTGCTCCATGGCCGGGTGCTCTCTCTCCTGTGGAGTGACCGTGCTCCATGGCCGGGTGCTCTCTCTCCTGTGGAGTGACGGTGCTCCATGGCCGGGTGCTCTCTCTCCTGTGGAGTGACCGTGCTCCATGGCGGGGTGCTCTCTCTCCTGTGGAGTGACCGTGCTCCATGGCGGGGTGCTCTCACTCCTGTGGAGTGACCGTGCTCCATGGCCGGGTGCTCTCTCTCCTGTGGAGTGACCGTGCTCCATGGCCGGGTGCTCTCTCTACTGTGGAGTGACCGTGCTCCATGGCCGGGTGCTCTCTCTCTCTGGTGAGTGCAGATACTCTCTGGCAATTAAAAAAAAGTGAGAGAGAGAGAGCGAGGGAGGAAGGGAGGAAGGAAGAACGAAAGAAGGAGGAAAGAAACGTGTTTATTGCTGAGAGAGAGGCACCTCCGGACATTCACTGGAGTGGAGCAGCAGCCCCAAGGATCCCATCCAGCTTCCTCCCCACCCCCGCAGCTCCTCCCAGGCTTTGCTGCCTGTGCGCATAGACTCCCCTTAGGGAGGAAATAGGAGCTCGCCGCTCCGGCCAGGAGAGGCGGTGCGCTCGGTTGTGACTATTGGGTTTTGGGTGAAGATAACCGGAGGTAAATGGGCTGGAACTAAGGGGAGAAGTTTGGCAACGAATAGGGATTTGGGAGTCACCGGGATATAGGGTGGCATTGAAACCACAGAGACGGGACAATTCCTTCCTGGGGACACGTAAGGCCAGAGGAAGGCAGGAGAGAAAACCCAAGTCCCCCCTACTGGTCCCTGAGAGCTGGCTGCGGACATCCGTTAAAACACAGCCGTGTCTGTGCCATCACACTGACAGCCGATGTCAGCCGCGGCGGGCTGATTTACTGCAGAGGTTGGCAGGTGTTACAAACCAGAGCTTTTTCCCCAGGGTCCGGGTCGTAAATATTTACCAACACACCACTGGTTACGCCAGGATGGGGAGGGAGAGAAAGGGGATGCATTTGAGGCCTTGGAGACAGAGTTGCCAGAGAAGGAGGGGTTCAGGTGAGATCGGCACTGAGAGGGTGAGGACAGAGGTGACAGAAGTCAGGACTGTCATCTGTGGTCAGCAAGCCTAGGGAGACCAGGACCCAAGAGGCCTGAGCATTGTCCCTGAGGAAGCTTCGGGGGGCTGGACTGCAAGGAGGGGGATGTGAGGAGGCAAGTGCTCAGGGGTGGCTGAGAGGCTGGGGACCCTCGTGCAGCCCTGGCCACCGGCCTGGCTCAGGGCAGCAGGACCTCTTCCTTGGGATTCTGTTTTCCAGGCTGTTTCTCCATCGAAGGCCCAGGGTGTATGAAAGGCTCAGAGAAGGGGTCGGTGACTGTACAGTGTCGCTACGACGCAGGATGGGAGACCTACAAAAAGTGGTGGTGTCGAGGAGCCAGCTGGGAATGGTGCAGTATCCTTGTGCGAACCCAAGGCTCAGAGCAAGAGGAGAAGAGTGGCCGTGTGTCCATCAGGGACAACTGGAGAGCCCGCCAGTTCACGGTGACCATGGAGCTGCTCAGGCAGGACGACGCGGGCACGTACTGGTGTGGGATCCAGAAGTTCGGAACTGACCTTGGGGCACGGGTGAAAGTGATCGTTGAGCCCGGTAAGAACTTCCTTCCCCACTACGAGGCTGTGCTTTGCCCCCTTCCCCAAGGACGCCAGGGAAATGACTGTGAGCATAAGAGACAGACAGACAGGAAGGGGAGATCACAGCTCCAGCGGGTCTGGCTGGTGTTGGGGTGGGCACGGGCTGTGGACCCCTGGCTTTGGTGTCCCACAGCCCAGCTCTGCCCTCCCAGGGCTGGACCCTCTTGGCAGCCTCACGGTCTCTCACCTGAGCCCCAGGTTGGCCTCAGATGCCCACGAAAGGCCCTGGGCATCACTCAGGGAGTAGGCGGTCTTCTGGTATCCACACCCTGGACCTGGGGCAGCCTGGAGGATCCCAGCACTGGCTCCTGGAACATGGCCCGTCCAGGGCGGCCCCAGGCACTTCATGGCGCTGCCTGCTCTGGGTCCCCACCACCTCCTCTCCTGCTTCCTCTGGCCGCAGGTACCAGGTACATGAGCAGCTAGTAGGGAAGACCCGGGAGACCTGCGGACGGTGGACAGCCGTAGGTGCTTTAAAGAGGAAGGACAGCTTCCACCACTGAAGCAGTGGCAGGGACTCCTTGGGCTGCTCCGAAGGCCCTTCCGGGCCTTAGACCCTGCCCAGGAACTCCAGGTCTTCTTGCCTCAGTTGCTGGAGCCTGAGAAACGGCCCCTCTCAGGCCCACCCAGCATGCCCTCAGCCGCGTCCATGCAGGCCCGCTGGGTGGCCATGTGCAGACAGACAACGTGGCTTTAGGCTAAGCGCCTGTGTTGTTAGGGTTGGAGCCAAAGACGGACCCAGGGGCTGCAGCTGGGTGGAGTGGGCCTGGAAAGTCACCCAGGTGAGCTCCCAGACCCCCAAGTAGGGGAAGCTGAGAAGATCGCAGGGACAGGAAGGGGACAGATTAAGACATGCAACCGAGGGACAGAGGCTGAGGTATGGCCCATGTGAAGCTTTAGGGAGAAAGGCACTTAGGGGTTCTGGGGGGGACCCAAGGGGCCCGCCTGAAGGTTCTCAGCAGGGAGCCACCAAGCATGACCAGAGCCCAGACCTTGGAGCGAGCTGCCAGGCCAGGGCCGCAGCGAAAGGTGACTGGCAGGTTGGGGTCCCTCAGTGGGAGCTGGTCTCGGGAGGCCATGGCCCAACTACTTGCCAACATGGCCCACATAGCTTTTCTGAAGTTTTTGTTTTTTAAGTGTGTTGTAGGGCACACACCAGAGAGATGAGGGCTGGGGGAGCAGTGAGAAATCACCCCGGGAGGGGCGGCCATGCCACAATCCCTCCTCCTCCATTCTCCTCCTGGGATACGAACACACATACCCACATGCTGGTGTTGTTTTTCAAGCTGCCGCGTCCACGGCTTGAACAGTAGGGTCAGCCCCGTGGGCTCCAGTCACCCGAACCACTCTGCTACCAGCTGGCCCGTCATGAAGGCCTTGCACTCCTGCACCCGCTCGCTGCTGGGCCAGAATGTGCCCTCTCGTTCACCAGCCTCTGGTCCCCTCTCTCTCACTGCCCCTGGGAACTAGATGCGCCATTTCCAGAACCTTCTGTTCTTCAGCCTCATTCAGGCACCGCTCAATGGAAAGGACTAGGGATTTCCTAGCCCCCCAACCATGGGCCCACTTACAGGGCTGGGGAAGCGGTCCAGAAGGAGTGCTCTCCCTCCCCGGGGAAGCCGGTCCTCGCCGCAGCTTCCTTTTATCTCTCGCCATGCGAGGATGGAAAGCGTGACTGGGCTGAGCCTCAGAGGACTCCACGGGGCTTGGACAGGCTGTATCTGACGACACACTTCCTCGTCGGGAGCAGAGCAGGGCTGGAAGGGTGGGGGACACCGTGAGCGGCACGAACCCCCAGCTGTGTCCTGACCCGTGGCCGACTTTGCCCGTTTCTAGAGGGAAAAGCCACCACACCAAGGTCTCCTCCTGAACAGCTGGTCATGCCAACCACCAGCAGCGCGGTTACGTTGATGTCCTTCCAGCGGTGAGTGGCTGCGGTCCTCTCCCCGGCCCCACTGGGGCCCTCCTGTGGGGAAGTCAAGCCTGGGGCCCTCCTGCCTGTGCTCTGTCACCTGGCAGTTGGAGTCCAGGCCCAAGCCCACCCACTGCCCGACTCCTCCTCTCCGTCCTCACCTACTGCCTGCCCAGTGTAGCCTCCCTAGAAAGCCACTCTGCAGGTCTCTGTTCTAGAAGGATCGTCCCCCATCAGTCAGTCGATAAGAAAGCAGGGCGGATGCCAATTCCACAGCGAGAGACACAGAGCAGGGAGGGATGGCCCTCCCAGGACCAGCCTCAGCAGGGACAGAGGAAGGAAGACTACCTGTCAGGGCACTCCAGGGGCTCCCGTTGCGAAGGGAAGGCCCAGAAGGTGAAGCGAGGATGACGGGCCCAGGACAGAGCAGCAGTTACTGTCCAAGGAGCCCGTGGGGTTGAGCCCGGAGGAGGCTCACGGGGGGTGGGGGGGGTCTTCCGAGTGAGGGCCCAGGCCCAGGGTCACAGGTTTGCTGAGCTGGCATGGCCCGCACTGTTGGGGAGGGGAGTGGCGGGCTGGGCCAGGCTCTGACGGCATGTCCTTCTCTAGGACCCACTACGTGCTCCTGGTGTTTGTGAAGGTGCCCATCTTGCTCGTCCTGGTCGGCGCTGTCCTCTGGTTGAAGGGGTCTCGGAGGGTCCCCGAGAATCGATGGGAACAGCCCGTCTATATAAACTTGCACTCTGAAATTCTGACCAATGGCCCGGCCCCTTAGACGGGAGCCTTCCCCGGGGCCCCATTTCCAGAGATGCAGGACGTGGAGGAAGCACCCCGAGTTCACAGGGTGACTGGGTGACCTGGCGGCTGGAGCACCCTTCCTGTTCTGCAAAGCGTGGGACGCAGCCTGGGCCCTCCTGAGGTGTGACTGCCACCGAGTGCCAGCACCTTGCTGCAGTCTTCAGGCAGCAGGTGCCCTGTCCCCAGCCCACGGGGTCGGGGTCCTGTGGGAGCTGCAGGGACGGAGCCCAGACTTCAGAGCTGAGTCCCCACTCCTGGAGTAAGGCGTCCACCATGCCTGGGCGGAGCACGAGAGGAAGACAGCAAGGGGACCTGCCAGCCCCGGACTCCGACGTCCCTGAAACAGCTCAACATCCCCTTTGCTGAGCACCTTCTCTATATACATTTTTCATCTTTTTTCCTTGAGCTAGTCAAGTTGGGTTATGATGACTCAGGTTCATGAGATCTCTGGCGGACCCCTCCCTACACATGGGGGCAGGGTGCGTTCTGACACTGCAGTGAGTTCCTGGTTCTGGAGCAAGAGGCTGGATGTCCCCTGCCCAGGCAGGACGTGGTTCTGAGTCTGCAGGTGAGGGGAACCATGAGCCTCCTGGGCCCGGTGCTGGGCTCTTCCCTCCTTCCCCTTCCCCTGCCCTCCCCCTCCCCCTCCTCTTCCTCTCCTCCCCTCCTTCCTCCTCCTCTCTCCTCCCCCTCCCCCTCTTCCTGCTCCCCCTCCTTCCTTCTCTCCCTCTCTCCTTCCCCTTCCCTCTCACCTCCCCCTCTGTTCCTCCTCCACTCTTCCTCCTCCCTCTGGCTCCCCAAACTCCCTGCCCATTCACCTACCTCCTAGGGGCCGAGCTTCCTGGGGCCACAGCTGGGAGCCTGGCCTGCTCAACTCTCTTCAGCACAACTGCTGGGGGGTGTTTTCTGAAGACCCCCCCCTGGACTTTGAGAACTACCTCTGTGTGGGGAAAGGTGCTAACGAAAGCTGTCTCTGGGAGGCAATGGCCTCTCTTAAATGATATTGTGCAAATGATATTAATAAAAACTGTCTGAAGGAATTGATGTCTTAAAGGATGTTGCTTGCATAATCTCAATAATTAAAAAAGTCTGACGTGGGAACAGCAGGTGGCATCGTGGTTAAAGCGCTGAACTCCCACATGGCTGATCGTGGTTCAAATCCCAGACCTGGCAGCTTGCTTTCTCACTTTCCCTCTCCGTTGCTCTCTGGTCAATTAAAATAATAAATAAAAATGAAATCAATGGGACCGGCAGGTGGGGCAGTGGTTGAGGTGCTGGACTCCCACATGGCCAACCATGGTTCAAGTTCTGGCAGCTTGCTTTCTCACTTTCCCTTTCTCTGGTCAAATTAATAATAATAATAATAATAACAAATAAAAGTAAATAATTCTCTTAAAATTAAATAAGTAACTATTTTTTAATTGTCTGAGGGACAAGATGTCTTGGATGCCTCACCGCAGCAATGATGTCTCTGAATACGCTTCAGTTGGAGCGAGGAGAAACAGCTTGAGAAGGGCGCCCCTCCCACATGAACACACTTGTTACACGTGGACGTTTGAGTGTGACCCTTTGGAGGCCAGTGAGGACATGCCCACCTGCCCTTTACCTTGATGGTGGGCCAGTTCTCAGCCTCTAAGAGACATCAGGATGATGCTCAGTAGTCCCTCCTGGTCCCCAGGGGGGTTCCTGGAGCCTCCCCTCCCCTCTCGTCCTTGAGCCAAGGAGACACGGTCTCTGTTTTATTTAAACAAGTGCCAAAGGACAAGCGTGCTCACCATAGAGAGGCAGAGAGAGGGAGAAGCACCCCTAGCGGGGCATGGTCACCCGCAGTCCCTGTTCCTGCACCGCTCCATCCTGTCAGGGTCTGAGGCACACGCATGCACATGCCTGGCTTGTTATTCACGCTACCGGGCCTGAATCTGAACCACGGTTGGCCATGTGGGGTCCTGCTCCCTTACCCACTAGGCTACGAGCCTGGCCCTCTGATTTTGAACTTTGCTTAGGGCTCTGGCCAGCAATGGGCTTGGAAATCCCAAAGTGCCCAAAAGGAGAAAGTTGGCCAGACTAAGACCTTCTGAGTCACCCCATTGGGGACCAAGGCCCACGGCACCCTGACTACAGAAGCCTCAGTGAACATGAACTTCCCTGGGTCCAGCCTCCCCCAAATCCACCCACAACTCTGTGAGAGGAAGAGCCCCACTCAAACAGGTGAGGGGCCACTGGCTCTTGCCAACCTGTTGGCCATGGTTCCCCCAGTTTCTAACAGTGGTGCCCGCGAGCCCCCAGTTCCTTTAGAGATAGTGTGGTCGGGTCATTAGTCTCTGATTCCTTCAGAGAGAACCCATGCAATAGATTAGGATCCTGAACACTACTGCCCCCCCAATATACACCCTTCACCCCATCCCAGACAGACTTCTGGGAAACACCTCTCATAACAGCTCCAATGCAAGCCGACAAGCCAAGCTTGCCTACTAACCCCGCTCTCTGGGGTCGGGGGAAAGATGGAACACCAGTGTATTAGCCACTGATCTGAGAGCGCTGGGGCAGAGGCCGGAGCGGAGGCTTCGTGCCCTTAAACCGCTGATATGAAGAGTCCTCACACCGAGGTGAGCATCTAGCAGACCTGAATTGCGATCGCTCTTCTAAGAGGAACGTGCATGCAACTTCTCTTTGCCTCGGTGCCTCCCCTTGGCCTTTACTTCTAAGTAACAGCACAGCCACAGAGGAAGTTCAGGGAGGGCAGTTGCTGCTCAGGAGCAGAGGAGGCAGCAGCCCCAGCAGGAAGGAGACAGCAGCAGGAAGGGCCTTATCAGGGCCTGGCATGAGGCTCTTTCTTCTTCTTCCTTTTTTAACTGTGGTAAAAACACCTAACACGAACTCTGCCCTCTTAACAGACGTTGAAGAGCACAGTGTGATGTTGGTGAGATGCGCATCGCAGTACAGCAGAGATCTAGAAAA